TGGTCGGCCGATATTCTTTCTGCTGAGCATGTGGCATTATCTCCTTCGTGAGGATGTATGTGGGGTGGGGATTTGAGTTTCTTCTCTCTCTCCTCCAAACTGGTCATTTATTTTTATATCTTTTGATTTCCTTTAGCACAGCTAATTATGACTGTCTGACATCTTTTTTGTTATCTTGAAATGTTATCTAGAATTGCATACTGCTATTTAACCTTTCATGTTTAGGTTAATAACACTCTAAGAATTTGACCTTGTGTCGTTCTTCCTGTATCCTCCCTGGCTCCTAGAACTTAGTCTACCCTCAATAGATAGATTTTATTTTCCTCATAAAATATGAATACCTTTCTGCTAGTTAATTATGAATGGGCTCTCTTGTAACATGTATCTTTTTGCTTCATAGAAGATTAGGTGTATTTTGTATTTACTAATTTTATGAAGATTTAAAATTACAGTGGCTACTCTCTCTCTCTCTATATATAATAAAAGCATAATATGCTAATTAGACCAGGCAGCCTAACGACCTTCCGGATGTCCTTCCGGACAAAGCCAGAGTGTGCAGGCCGAGCATATAATAACATTAGGGCCAAGAGACAGAATCCAACAGCCATTTAACACTGTAGCTGTTGTTTTAAGACCTCAGGAATCTGCCAGCCATGGCCGTATTTATTAGAATAAAATGTGGTCCAAGTAATTTCTTTTTTGGGGTCTATTCCGTCTCCTCACTTAATACTAAGTCGGGGGTTGGGGCCTAGCAGAAGGGAACAAACCGCTGGGAGAGGTGTGGCTGCCGCCACCTACACCGCCCAGTTACCGAGGAAACGAGGCCGTGGACTGGGGTCTCCTGGACGCTGTCCCTCAGTTAATCATATACATTATTCCCCAAAGTTCCACAGACTGCCCTCCCGGACGAAAACAAAAATCACCCATTTCTTCTCCCCCTGAAAAAACGAAAAGGCTGTTCTCTCTCCTTCTCAAGTAGCAAGTGAGGGACTGAACCGCGGGAGGGCTCCCGGCTCTCAGCCTCAGGCGCCCAGGCGGCCATGCGGGGGCGCGGGTGCGGGGAGCGCGGGCCGGCACCCTCAGCCGCGGCCTGGCCGGCTTGGCGGACATTTTCCTGACCGATTCCCTCAGGGAGGAGGCTGAGGGTCTGCAGGACGCAGGCCCCGACCGGATTTAACATCGGAGGCTGGAAATCCCTCCCGGGGCGAGGCCCCTGCAACCGCCACCGAGCCTTAAGCACGAAGGAACCCAGGCGCCTTCCCTCAGATTCTTCACACGCGTCCTTTTTTGCTGCAAACCCCGCTCGTACCCACAGTTCTTCGAGGTTCTTGAAGTGAAT